TAATCTAAATATAGGAACAAAATGCGAATAAATATTGTATGAATCAGTTCAAACAACTAGAAGTATGTTGTTAGCAGATTTAATAATAATTTCATTCATAAAATAAAATCTATATATATATATATCTAAAATTCATTAAAAAGGAATGAAAGACTCACAAGATGTCTTGACGTGTGTTGCCATTAAAGTCCTCGAATAAAAATTTTGTAGTGTTTATTTATAACTTTATGAACTATTATTTAATTTATTATTATTATTGACTATTATATTCCAATGAGTTTAAGTTATTTCTTATTTGTCTATCCTGCGGTTTTTTAAAATTATTATTATATTTTAATACAGTTGGTTAAGACTCGATTCTATGCCCAATAAAAAACTCCAGAATTGGTCCATTTATCTTACTTCATTTTTTTCCCTCACCGACCTTACAACTCTCAAGGGCACGTTAAAGAAAGACAAACCTTAGGACTGACTTCTGTATGTACATTTTTTATTTTATATATATATATTTAATGCAGCAATCTTCAAACTCCCTTCAAATTTTTTTGTACAAAACATCTCCCTTTTTTATCAGGTATCGCAGCATTTAATTGTTTTATGAAGAAGTATTAGTTCACTATTCTTTAACTTTTGTAAAATTTTATTTTGATCAGATTAGTTTTTTTTTTCGCTTATATACATTTACATTTAGTACTATATTTTTCCTGTTTAATTAATTTTTATTTATTGTACATAGAGTGTGAATGTGCTCTCTAAACACAATTATAAATGTCCTTAATTGAGACAGATTGTAAAATTTTTCAAAAGAATAATTCATTTCATCGTCTAATAATAGATAAATAGAGTGTGAATGTGCTCTTTGAACACTATTATAAATGTCCATAATTGTGACAGAATGTAATATTTCCCCATAAATAAGTCTAAAAAACAATATCTTACATAAAAATCATCCGTCCCACACATTATATATATTTTTTATTATAATTTACACAGACGTTTCGGCATTTAGCCATCATCAGCATATCTGTCTGCTCTTCGAATATCATACTTGCATAACAGACAACAATTTTTTTTATACTCCATATTACCTCATCAATAGACAATGGTCACTGTATATAAAAAAAAATTAACTTAATTTAAACTAAAACCAACACTCAAATATCAAATGAAGTTAATTTAAATTACTTTCAAAACTATCGCTAATTTATTTAATTATTTTCAATAATGGAATTTATTTCTAAGGTTTATTAAAAATTACAACATTTATAAAGAAAACGATGATGCTCGTTTAATATTTGTTATTAGTTTTTTCTCTAAACATTATTTTGAATTGTATTTAAAAATTTTAATTGATTGAATTAACATTTTTCATCGATATTTCAATTAATAGTTAACATCGAATAAATGTTCTAATAGATTAAAAATCGTTTAAACCACATTTCTTTTGCAATACATAATAAATACATTTAAACAAACTAAATTTTAAAAAAATAGAAATCTTGTGTTAATAAAACTAGTAATCCTCTTCCTTGGATGGTACGTGTGAAAATCCGCAATCGTTTCTGATAAATATTTTACTAATAGGGTGTATATAAAAAATGACCGTTTTTAAAACAATTATTTGTATTATTATTTATTTGATATAAAATACAATTAATACTCACAGTAATACTCAAAGTTCTTTGCTATCTACATTTATTGGCCATCAGCTAGCCAATTGCTCGATCCCACGCTATCATTCTTTGGGATAGCTGTCAGAGAACTCTTGGACTTCAATTTAAAATTCCGCAAAATTGTCAATTTTTTTTTCCTTGAAGAAAATGGGCCATGGATCTAAATAAGTAGTAATCTGATGGCGCGAGGTATGGACCCGCGAGGGGCAGGAGTTCGAACCCATGAAGTTCTTTAATATTTCCAGTTGTTCACCGTCATCATCATCATACGTGGTGCTACAACTCCTGTGGAGTCAAGGCTCCCGCATCTTGGTCCGCCAGTCTTCTCTATTGGTTGCCGATGCACTATAATTGCGGATTCCCATGATGGACTTGGCATCCTCTGCCACTCCATCGATCCATGGGAGCCGAGGTCTTCCCACTCTTTTTATCCCATAAATCCTATCATTTAGGAATATCCTAGGAATCTGATCCTGGGTCATTCTAATTTAATGACCTCCACCATCGAAGCCGGCCTACTTTATTAATTAAATTTACGATATCTGAGCTCTTGTAGAGTCTTTTTAGCTCAGCATTCGTTTTTATCCTCCAGATTCGATTGATGCAAACTGGACCATAAATTCTCCTCAATATTCTCCTCTCGAACCTTAGCAGAAGGGCTTCCTGTGTACTAGGTAATGTCCAGCATTTGGAGGCATAGGTGAGAACTGGTCTTACCAGGGTCTAGAACAGTTGCACCATTGTATTTTGAGAGATAGTTCTGCTCCTGAAATGATTCAGTAATCCAAAATAGCATTTATTTGCGGGCAGAATTCTGTAATGGATCTCTGCTTTTATGTCATTATCCGCGTTTAATTGTGAATCAACATATACAAATTATTTCACCCTTTCAAATGAAAAGCTTCTAGCCATAAAATGCGATTGTTGTGGGCGTGCATGCATATATTTGGTTTTTAATTCATTAATCTCTAAACCCATTCTAGCTGCTGCTGTCTGGAGACTAGTGTTGCCTAAAATCGGTCTTGCTCTTACACTGTGTAAGACCAAGACCAAGACGTCCTAACTGTTACGAGACTATGACCAAGACTGGTGAAAAAAGACTTTTTGAATAAACATCAAGCCAAATTAGTTACTAATACTAGACAATTTTAGTTATTATACGTATAGAATCGGTATAACCAATATACTTTTGCATTTAACTTTTCTAATTTTTTATTCGGGCTTAGTTAGGTTTCACCTACATAAAAATTACAGTGATATCTCTATAGTAATAAGCTAATAGGTAACTACAAGACAGATGCGAGACTCTTGAGCAAGATCAAGACCTAGACCAAGACTGAATTTGCAAGACCAGGTCTCGTCTCGGTTTCGCATTTGGGCTACACGATTGGAGACTCAATCTGTAGGGGTTATTCCAACAATATCTAAGTCATCGGCGAAGGCCAAAATCATTGATCTATTGAATATAGTTCCCCCTACTTGTATTCCAGATTTCCGCACCGCACTTTTGAGGGTCAAATTGAAGAGAAGGCATGCAAGAATATCACCCTATCTGAGCCCTTTGTGGGTTTCAAAGCTAACGGTCAGGTCACCCTGAACATGCACTATGCATCGCACCTTCTTCGTTGTTGTTTTTTCTAAGTTGTTCGCAGTAGAGTTCGGAATTCTTCATAGATCCATCCATCAGGAACTAATTCGTGATGAATAATACCTTCAAAATTCCAAAAAAATGCAAAGCATGGATTTATTTTCAAATTGCTCTCTTGCAGCCAACGGAAAACCAGTTTAACCGCGATATAGCCATTGCTCACGGGTATTCAGATTTCGGCAGTAAATCCACTTTTCATCACAATCTTCCGGTAAAATCTCATATCAGAAGGGGTTTTCAATAAATCTTCTCAAATTTCTAAACTCTAACATTAGGAGTTAAGTTCTTGAGAGACCAGTCTACTGCTCCGTTTCACCTTCCTCGTGGAGAGTAGATGGTAATCAACAGTATATTTCGAAATACCATACTCCCTGGTAAGTTCGCGAGTACTTTTAGAGGGATTTGAATCAACAGTTTTCTGCAGAACCTCATCAATATCCATTAATGGTCGCCCGGAGCCCTTATTCCTTTCAACGTCGTATCTCCACTGATATATTTTTCAAACCAACGCCGTGCAGTGCACTGGTCAAGGACACCTTTCCCTTCATATTTAATATTTTCAAGAATTGCTTCAGCGGCTTTGAATTTTTTTTTCCAGTAATGCCTTAAAATTAGATTAAAGATTTCGTAGGACACTGTCATGTTTCTTCTTTGAAACAAATACCTAAACTGAAGCTTTTTTTGAAGAAGTCAAATGGGATTAAACAAGCTTAGAGAATGCTCTAAGGGGATTATAAGGTATTGGTAAGTATTAAATAGGATTAAAGTAGTATTATAAAATAAATAAGTAAAAATTTACTGTCCTTTGAAATCATGTATTTGATAAAACAGTAATTTTTTTTTTATACGCCCTATTATTTTCAGATAGGTTTTTGTTTATTATCTGAATATGGTGTTTTAATTTTAGTTGTATTGGTCCTGTTAAGACATGAAAAATTGCTGGAACAGAGCTTATTTAGTTAGGTACACAATAACTGATTTTTAAAAATATTTTTGACAGCTATCGAAGGAATCCTTCGTCTTGCTGGATATAGATATAAACCCAATTTCTTCTCTGCTAACTTGAAGCACCTGGTATGGAATTGGAGTAAAGAAAGGAGATTTTTCAACCATTCCTTGCGAAGATGTGCCTGGTTTAGGATTAGGTTCAGAGTTTTAAACAGCTCACTGAAATCCCTGGAAGAGTTATCAATAAATCGCGAGAGTTTTTCATTTAGCTGGTGAACCACGAAGGGTTGAGCCAATTGGCCGTGACCTCTTAGTAGGTGCCTTAATAGACATGACTCGGTGGTAAAATTGCATATCTCTTAATAAAGAAAAAAGAAGCGAAAAAAAGAAGAAAAATACTTCTGCAGGACCTTGACTTGCGGCAAGTGAAGATTAGAAGAATTTAAAATAATTATACATAACATTAAGTGATAGCACCTCAAAATTCAATGTTTTCCGCTAATAATACATCACGTTTCAAATCATGATTTATCATTAGCACAAATATTGGTCTCTTCTATTCTATTATAGGATATACAAATTTTCTTTCGTTACAAAAAATTAATAAGTAAATAATATTAATTTTGTTAAAAACATTTTACTGCATAAACTACATTTTATATCATTAAATAACGAATTCATAATCATCGACTATTTTTGGATTAAAACTACCAACTAAAAAGAAAACTTACTTCAATTCCAGAAAGACAATGATAACGAAGATGAATATCTTGGTAACATCCATTGTCATGGCATCTGAAAACAAGAAAATAATAAGAGATACGTAAACTGATTTCATAAATAGCTTTAAATTATGTATACATTTCTATAAAAAAAAATATATTTTTCTTTCTCTAAATTATTGGAATCAAGGAAAAAATTTAAGTGATTTCTCTCCAAGGGCTTTAGCCCGTCGAGTCGCGTCTGATCCGTCTTACTGACAATAAATTTCAGTCAGCACGATGGAGTAGGTGTTAATCGCAGGGCGAGCCATACGTGTCATCCATCGTTGTAGGTATCCCTAAAATTTAAAATAGAACTCCTTAAAATGAAAATAATTTTTTCCAGGTGCATGATTTCAAAAAGATAACAACACTTCTTCCCTAACCCAAAAAAAATTCCATCAATGGCTTTAGTAAAATAATAGTAACCAGCACAAATAGGTTTAAGGATTAGTACATGAGAGCGGAGAAATCCCTTTTTAAAAATATTTTCGAATTCCTGAATACAAAGATATCTCATAACAATCGGTGGTCCTCCCCCGAGAAATTGAAAACTCACAAAACAAAATTAGATCTTTTACACCATTGTTGTACCAATTGTAATTGTTAAAGTATTTCGCTCAGATCATTCATAGAAAAAATGTAAAAAAAAAAATGTGTTTTTTTTATAAATGATTTATTATTTTAAATATTCACAAATAAGAAGTTTACAACTGCTGTGGGTGTGTACACTCAATGCCGGCCTTAGACATTCGGAACCCCCCCCCCCTCCCCACCGGACAATGACGTCATCTGTCCTCCCAAAAAGAATTAAATTCATTTCTCTAATTCTGTTGCTTTATTAATAAGCTAAAATTAATAATTTTAATACGTTTTGTATATTTTTTTTTTTATTTCGACGTGACGACAACCCCTAAATATCGGCCGGGCCCCCAACGAGCGCCAATCCACTTCGGTACTATGTACCCTTGTACAATACATTTGCACATATATATACAATATACTTTAAATAAAATATATTAAATTTATTTGTAAAAAATAAACACAATGGGAAAAAAACAATACTATTTATACTAAAATAAAATATACACTATTTTTGAGCAGAATATTTTTCGTTCTCTTATGTTTATATATAATATAATGGTCATAGTTTTTTGTAATTTCTTACTTCAGCTATTAATGGATTTGACGAGTATTAACATCGAAAGAAGGTTATGATTATTTGGTGAATATATTCTTGTATTTAGGGCATATTTAATTCTGAGTGCATCTTAATTATTTCCGTTATATATAGTTCGTTGTATTAATTATTATATATTATAGGGATAGTTGTTGACAATTCTTAGGCATTTTTTTTTCTAATTTGTAGTTTTTCATGTTGGTTGTATTAGTGAACCTCCATATGCGGAGTAGGCGTATGTATAGATTGGTCTTATTAACGATTTATACAGAATTATTTTTTTAGGCGAATTTGCTGATTAAATAGGAGTTTATTATCGATTGTTACACCTAAATATTTAACAGACTTGGCAAGCGGAATTTGAGAATCATTTAAGATTATATTCAGCGAGATTATAGACGTCGTTTCGTAAAAATAATTGCTTCTGTTTTATCTATATTGAGGTTTAATCCCCATTTTTAAGGTATTTAGATGTTTTTTTTTTTTTAAGAATCTGTTAGTCTATTGATAATAATTGGGTCTATTTTTTTTTTTTTTTTTAATGAGTGGGGATTCAGACTGGAAGCCACCTTCTTTCGGATCCTCGAAAAAGAAAGCTTCACCTCCCTCAACAACAGTAAACAGTTAAACGGTTGAGGTATCGACTTCAGTAGCACCATCAGGAATGATGAATAAAAGGCAAAAAATTGATATTAATCAGGGACTGTTTACGTATATCATTTAAACATATCTTTTGCTATAACTAATAAAAGGAATAATTAATTAACATGATGAATTTTAAATCATTTCTGTTTCAAGCATCGATTTATGCGCGATTCCTTTTAGATAAATTGGTTAATTTTTGTAGGTTTTAAACAGGCATTAAACCTGTCCTGTTTAACTGGAAAAACATTTTCATAACAGATATCGTTTAGAAATTGAACTAATTTTGTTGTTTTCACAATTAAATTGGAATTTTCATTCAAATAAAAATAAAATAATTTGATTACGCAATATTCTTCTAAAGATTGATTGTGAACCAATAAACATGTAACCGAAAATGATTGAAAGAATGATTGAAAATGAGTGGGTGAGTATAGGGTCATTACTCCATATTCTCTATGCTATGGAATATAAAAATGTTTATGTATAATTTTATCAATGTCATAATATGGATCTGAAGGATATGTATATATATATATATATATATATATATATATATATATATATATATATATATATATATATATTTACAACTTTTCTTTAATCGACCTTTGAATATTAAATTTTAACATAATTATTTAATTGGGAATAAGGTCACTTATTAATTATTCAATAAACTACTAAATGTTCATTGCTTCTGTGGTAATTCGACGTTTCGACCCCGGTTTTTTAGAAGTCAACAATGGGATCCTCTTCAAAGTTCGATATCTCAGGACACACCGACAGTTTCAGCACCGTCCACCAGCACATATATTAAGCTACTGGCTATTTTAAAACTTTGAAGATTCCATTGTTAACTTATAAAAAACTGGGATCGAAACGTCGAATAAACATGAATTGAATAAATAAACAAGAATTGAATAAACACAGAAACAATGAACATTTAGTAGTTTATTGAATAATTATTAATTGACCTTATTCCCAATTAAAAATTATGTTAAATATATATATATATATATATATATATATATATATATATATATATACATATATATATTTATATATATATAAAGAATGTATCAGGATTAGCGGACCATACCAAGAGGAGATTCCATACCTAATTTGTAACAAAGAAAGTTTAAATGAACAATTGTCTTGTTTTACACAGAAAACAAGGAGATTTATGTTTTGCATTTTAAAAGAAAGTCACGTTTTTTGTTAAACCAGAAGCAACTAAACAATTATTTGATTTAGGCAATTATCAATTTTAGCGCATAGTAGACTAGACAGTTTTTTCTTCGAATGCAAGTAGAATGGGTCTTTTTTAAAAACATTTAATTCTTTTAATTTTTAATTTAATTTTTTTTTTAGGGAATTGACGTCATTACCGAGGGGCGTCAAATACCTAAGGCCAGAATTGCCAATATCCTTTGTACAAACCAAAATATCTCTAATCCATAATAATAGAAATTCAAAATCAATGTGTCCAATATTTGTCCATGTGAGTGCACGTTTTAGCATTGTAAACACTACTTACAAGAGACGTCAACAGATAAAAATTATTTCATATATTTTTTGCTAACTCACACACCTATATCTATTAAAAAAATATAATAAAATAGAATGGATGAAACTCATAAGCTGTGGCAAAGAAAAAAAAAAAAAAAAATTTTGTTCACCAGGTTCTATGTCGTTTATTTGGCAATCCATGTTTCATTCTGGAACTAGCAGAGTACCATCTCCGATTTTCATATTCTTATCAACCGCACATTTTTTCTCTACAGAAGTCGTTTCACAGGCTTCCAGATAATATTAATTATAGTTAATTTTTATTTATTGTCATCTGGTCAAGTTGAGTTTCAGAAAAACAATATATGATTAATTGCTTATCACTTTTATGTAGTTTTTGTCTAGGTGTAAGTAGGTTTTCATTTCTTTATTTAACGTTATCATCTTAATTACTTTAATCTGAATCTCTAAAATATCTTGAAACCAGATATAGTCCAGTCCAGTCAATGAATGGTTATAGAAGTAAATGGCTGCTACACAATTTTTGACTTTGGGAGATTGTTTGAACAAGTAAGGAGGTAAACATACTAAAAGTTATCATTCCTAGGTGGTGAGCCGGATGTGGAAGGGAGCGCCTAGGTCACTTTTTTCGGGTTTTCGCTTATATCAGGAAAACTATCCATCGCATCGACAAATACGTTTTATAGAAAATTAAAGCAGATAAAATTAGAAATATGATTGATAATATACATTTTTTCGCTATCTCGCTTAGTTTCCGAGATATTTGTCCTCAACTATAGCTAATTTTGAAAAAAAAATTTTTTGCTACATGTTTTTCTTCGCTTATATCAGGAGAACTATCCAACGCATCGACAAAGACGTTCTATACAAAATTAAAGCTAATAAAATTTTTGTATATTTGTATATTTTTTGTAGCAGGAAATCGTTTTGCAAATTTTCGGAATCGACATATAAAGTTATAACTGATGTAACTTTTGAATCGTTGAATATAAACTAGTAAAATAATATAAATTCTTGAAAAAAATATATTTAATAAAAAAATTTTACCCCATGACTTAATTTTAATACGAAGAAACCAAGAGTTAGCTAGTTAAATACAGTAAAAAAACATGACTTTGTCGATGCGTTGGATAGTTCTCCTGATATAAGCGAAAACGCGAAAAACAGCAATAAACACATGGGAATTTTTTTTGTTCAATATTAGCTATAGTTAAGGACAGCTATCTTGGAAACTAAGCGAGATAGCGAGAAAAAATATGTAATCAATCATACGTTAGCTAGTTAAATACAGTAAAAAAAACATGACTTTGTCGATGCGAAGGATAGTTTTCCTGATATAAGAGAAAAACCGAAAAAAAAGTGACCTACTAGGCGCCCCCCCCCCAAACCCAATAGAAGTGGGGATTTTTAGTATGTTTACCTCCTCACTAGTCCAAACAATGTCCCAAAGTCAAAAATTGTGTCGCAGCCATTTCCTTCTATTTGCACTCATTTTCGAGCATTCATTGACTGGACTAATAAATGACATTTTAAACTAAATTAGTAATATTGTGAAGTGAATAATATTTGTGAACCTCAAAAATATTTTAAGTGGTGAAGAAATAGTTGACTGTAGAAAATATGGTTGGGAATTACAGACAGTGAGAAAAAACAAATTTATTTTGTTTTGTGCCGACGTTTCATGCCTTCATTAGAGCTGAGGAAAGACAAGATGACAACCAAAAATCATCGAACAACTATTGTAAAAAGATATGAAAACAGAACAAATGTTATCTGCTAATAAAGAAATTCTAAAAAGGGTATACAAATTGAAATACATGAGTATTGTATATAATGGTAAGGTATGAAAATAAAAGAAAAATATTACAAGTATATTTCAACTTAAAAATTAATTTTTAGTTGTTTT